ATTTCACAGTATATAGAATTCATTGTGTAGTTTAACTTTAATTAATACGTAAAAGGTGATATAATTAATAGAATAAAGTTTATTATGTATCAACTTTTTACGTTTAAAAAAAGTTTCGGATTTTTCGAAATCCCCCGTGTATCAAAATTTTCTTTTATCAAGTAAACTGGGACACAGAAAATTTTGATGATCGTAACTATTTTTAATTAACGCATTGATCATTAACTAATATAGACTATTGTGCACAGTTTCTTTTATCGAGAGTTGACCGTAATTATATTTCTAATTCTAGTAATCAAGGTTTCATTTTGCTCATAAAATTCCAGTATAAGGCCATCATTAGCTCTATTTACTGGTGTATATAGAAAAAAATTTTTAGTTAAAAAACAAACAATATAATCTTCGCTTACATCAATGATAACAATTACTTTCTTTTACAAATAATATCTTCATTCCAATATTTTTTGTGATATGAAAGGGTGCGCAATATAGTAATCTGTTTTTGCCTCATCGGTTAACCTCGAACCCATATCATCATACTGAACTTCGCTTAAGCATGCAAGAACTTTTTGTGTAGTTGGTATAAGCAATTCTTGCAGTATTTTTGCAGAGCTTTTATCTTCGGCATGCTTCCTTGAAATCTGATCGAATAATCCTACTACTTTATTTATTTCATCGACGGGCAGTTTAACATTAAGATCATCCTTAACATACGCCTTAATTATATTAATGTAACCTTTAATTCCAATTTTCAAACGGACGCCCATTCTTTCAAAAAGTTCTTTGTAGTTGTATTTATACTCGTCGGGAAGCCCTACTATCAAGGTGTCTTTGTTTCCAAAATCTTTGGGAAGGTCGAAAACTACATTTTCAGATAAATAAAATTGTCTATTAACTAATATCCATTTTGTATCTCCAAGTTTCTCCTTTAGCGTGTCAATTTCAGTGGTTACAATCATATTCATATGACTATAAATCGCTCTACAAATATTGTATATTTTAAGAACTTTTATCAATTTCTGAGAATACATCCGAAGCTGACAAAGGCTTACTTCGATATCTGGCCTTTATTCCAATCAAGATTTCTACGAAATGATTCGTTTCTTATTCTATAATTGAGGATGGACACAACATTTCCAATTAAATATCTTTTTTCCAAATCTCCACAACACGAAGATCTCGAGAAATGCTTTTTCCTAAATAGTCAACAGTCAGAATCCATTAATGATCCAAAATTTCTGAAAAAAGTTGTTTGTTTCCATGTAAATCTTTGTCAAATATAGTCTTCCAATTGTTATCTACATATTTAAGAAGTTTCATTGCCTTCGTGTGCACAGTGTCAAATAACTCCAGTTTATTTTTGTAATTCTGAAATGTTCTCAAACGATCAATAATTTCATCCGCAAAAGAACCGTTTTCAGACCCAATTCTTTTAGCAAAGTTACCTTTGATGAAAAGTTACCATATGGAAAAATCTTTTCGTCCTCAAAAAATAGATCAATCATTTCTCGATCTTCAGGATTATATAGATCCATGGGCCAATGGCATTTGATATGCACATCAGAGTTGAGGTGACCTTTAAACATCCCGTAGGTGCCAGTAGTAACAAAAGGAAATTTGCCCAGAAAAACTTTCAAAGTAGAATCGATCCAGAGAAGAACTCCCAAATGATCAAAGAGTTTTTCCACCATATTATTCAATACCAGTTAAGGCTGAGAGATTAAATTTGGCATCACATACTCCCTCTAGTAAATTATTCGTGTCAATCTTGAATCTTAATTATGTCTTCTAAAATATATCGAGTTTTCACTGAGTTTGCATCAAGAAAGCTGATATTATTAGATATAATTATATGACCATAGTCTCTTTCTTCTTCTTTTAGAAGTAAAAACCATTTTTTATTTCCATGGAGAGAAGTTAGTTCTTTATGACCAATCTCCGAAAAAATCGGAAGATTTTTATCACATCAATTATAGAGGCCGAAAGTCCAGAATTATTGTCACTATATTTCCTGATTTTAAGCTGTTTGCTTAGATATTCAATCAGTTCGAAAGCATCCTTAGTTTCTAAACAAATATCTATATTTCTTGGATAGGATTCCGATTCACACAAACAAAATAAAACCGATGGCAATTCGGTAAGATTAACAAAATAGGGTGATAATCTGGAGAAGAAAAAAAAATAAATAAATTTGTCGTATTTGCACATAACGTTGTTAATGCATTACTATAATTAAAGTGATTTTGTTTATCTTGGCCAGGTATTTCTTAATGTTTCTCGAAGTCTTTATTGACAAACACAATGCCAAACTTTTCTATAAGCAGTTGTATTTTGTTGTCAGGTTTATCATCAATACCATGCTAGAAACATTTTTCATTGGTTCTTATTTTTTGTAATATTCCCCGATTTGTTAATTCAAAATCTTTTGGCTCATATCCTTTTTTTCCAAAGTTGTCCCAAATCATAAAACCACATTCATGTTAATCTTTTAGTACGATCTCATCAGATATTTCCAAATATCTCTTAAGATTCTGCTTGATATTCAATATCTTGATATTGTTATTCCACTTCTTTTCCGTACCCTCATATAAAAGGTTCCATAGATTGTATGAAATAGAATTGTCAATAAACTTTTTCAAATTTTTGGCAAAAATGCTGCATTCGTAATCAATTGCTGCCTGATCAAAACATACACTACTTGGACAAAAGTATTGCACGTCATTTATTTATTAATTACACAAAATTTTACATAATAATTCTATTTAA